TTGATTTTGTCAGATGAATGAGTTTAAATTTAGTGTTATTGAAACAGTATGTTCAAAACACAGCATTCAAAGAGTGAAGAAAGAGTGAAATTTGTGCATAAGCAGAAAAATACACTCATTACTCATACTTGGACTCCACCCTGTCTGATATAGTCGACATGCCACACATTCATCATATTTGCTTTGGAAGTTGGGTTTCTGATCAACTTGAAACATTTTAGTCTGAACAAAGTTCATACTAGGGCGGAGGCAAGATTAACAATGACTCCTTTTTTGGAGGAAACAACTTTTATCACTGTATCTGCATCAACATGCTGATAAACATACATTTAATAAAAATCGTTGCGTCCAAAAAAGAATTACTTGTTAACATGGCCTCCTCCTTAGTATGAACTTGGTTGGACTAAAATTATCATCTGTCATTTTCTGTGGGTAGTCTCAGCTTGAAAGCCTTTGGGCGCATCAACCTGTCATAGAGTCGGAACTTTAACAGGCTTTGTAACATAATGATAACTGGTGATTTTAATAAAAAGACCTATGTCTTTCACTTTAAACCCAGGCCATACACTTTTTAAAAGTATCTGATTACAAGTAGTCAGGTATATAAAGTGTTTTTGCTTCATCTGTGGTAATTGCACAGCCTGCACTGAGGAAGAATGATGTATGTATTTCACAATAGTTTGGTACAGCATTGATCCCCCCCCCCCCATTGACATTAAAGGCAAAGAGACATCACGTACAGGTAGAGGTAGGCAGGGTGGCCCTGCAGCATGTCAAGTTCACCACAAGCCATGATGACGGAAGTAGCGCCTGTAATTGTGTTAATCGTGATCTCAATATTGACCAAAACAATCTGGATAAATCATGATAATGCTTCAAGCCATAACTGAGCAGCCCTACCTGCAAAACAAAAAACAGATACAAACTTTTAGAAAAATCTCATCCCCGAGCATCCATGATGTCAATATACACACCAGAAACCTTGAACTCAAACAAGATTACTGGACCTCCTTCTGATTTAAACAAGCAATGTAAATCAATTTTATGTGCTGTTTTGAAGTGTCAATTTTTATCTTAATTGTCATACACATTTTGCCTAGGTCAGAATCAGCCATGGCAGATGGCTCAAAAAACCCTATTCCTGTCTCACAATGGGACTGCACTTTCAGGTCTCGATGCCACTGGATGGCTTTTAGAAAAGCACTGTGTGGGGGAAAAGCCAACTCATTTCGTCTTTTTCTCTCTATCCATCCATCCAGCGAAAAAAACAACAACATTAAAAGCATTCCCTAACACCTGAGCTCTCTTACTAAGAGTTAGACAAATCTCATTGAGCTCAGCACTTGGAGTCTAACCAGCAGTGACAGCTTATCCACTGACTAGCTCTGACTACCAAACTGGCAATATTATGATCACACAAAGTTATGTCAAATATAACAGCCAGTCGTTTATTATAGTAGGCTGACCCGATCCATTTGTGATGGATTGTGTTGGCTTAATAATGGCTGATCCATTCCTTTCTTTTCTGAGGTGGACCACGCCTCTACATTTTTGCTTAAAAAAATGTACTGAAACTTCAAACTGGGGATAAAAGATGATGTCCAAATCCTGCCCAACCCTTACCCTTACTTACTTAACTAATTTCCTCTAACACTACCTAAGTTCGAAAGGCTCTGCAATTAATCATCTGGTGATCGCAATTACGATTTTGAGGTCAAACGATTTCAAAATTAATGAAATCGAGGATAAACGATTTTTGGTCATGGATGCCTGGAGATGCTATTTTGTCTTCAACGGAAGCTTCGCATGCGCAATACCACCCCGTCCCCGCCTCTCCTCTATTCACTCCATGAGCCAGTCAAGTAGGTGAACTATGAATGATGCGAGGGGGGAGGTGATCGCGGAAGATTTCAAAAACAGCGTGCGGAAAATGGCAGAGGGAGAGCAAGAGAGGTTGGTCTGTGTGTGTGTGTGTG